ACTCTGGGTGGTTTACAGAAGAGATAAAATCAATTAAAATACAATATAAAAACAATCTTAATAATAAATACATTTCAAGAATAATGGAGAATTGGCAAATAACTCAGAGAGCGTCATTAGGGTGCTAACCACCCCCAGAGATGATTAGAGCTTCTATCACCCCTTGCAAGCTGGCAGAGCCAGGTCTTTAATCCCTTCCGGAAGGTCGGGAGAGTAGGGGCCTACCGCACCTCTGGGGGGAGAAGATTCCGAAGGGTGGGGGCAATGGCAGAAAGGGCTCTCCTCCTGGGCCCCACCAGCCAACATTCTCTCACTGATGGGGTCCACATGCCCCCTCTGCCTGACTGGGCGGGACAGGTTGATGTAATGGGGATGAGACAGTCCCTCAGGTAACATGGATCCATGCCATTTAGCGCTTTAAAGGTGATAACCAACACCTTGAATTGGACTCGGAAGCAAACTGGCACCCAAGCAGCTCCCACAGTAAAGGTGTTACATGTGCCATCCTTGGGGCAGCTAATATTATCCACACAGCTGCATTTTGAACCAGCTGTAGCTTCCAGATACTCTTCAAGGGCAGCCCCATATAGAGCGCATTGCAATAGTGTAGCTGAGAGATGACCAGGGCATGAGTAACTGACCGGAGGGCCTCCTGATCCAAGAAGGGGCCAACTGGCACACCACATGAAGGTGGGCAAAGGCCCTCCTAGCCACGACTGCCACCTGCTCCTTGAGGTGGAGGACAAATAAGTAGCACTATCAATTATCTCCTTTTCTTTGTATACCCATTACTTTCGAAAATAAAACACAAATCAGGCACATTGTAAGGATTAAGCTGAATTGTAAAGATGTCACCATTAATACATTATCTGGAAGAAGCAAATCTAGGAATTACCAATAGCATCAATAGGCTTTCCCTTCTCTTATTTCCTCACTGGTTATACCTATGTTCCAAACTAGCAAATGTCAGAACATATTTCCATCCAGAAAGAGAGAGCCAAAAATATTTTACATGCTAAAACAAACAAACAAAAGGACTCTAAAAAGGACGGGGAACAACATTGCTCTGTGCCGAATTTTGTCCCTAGGGCAAAAGGATTCCCTTTTAGTTTCTGTCACACCACTGAATGTTTGCCATTTATTGTAATAAAGAACTAAGGAAATATTGTGATGCAGACAAAATCTACACTTAGTATCAAGGATTGTGCAGAGAACAGAGGAAATTTGTTTCCAAGCGCAAAATAAAGGTATATTTAAAATGCGGTAGACAACTCTTCCCCCCTTCATAATATACTCTCCTTAACAATGAACATTTCATTATTTTGTATTTCTGATGAAGTAGAGCACATTTGGACACTTCAGAGCTATTTTTTAAAACATAAATTGGTTTACAGCTATGGAAGGCTCACAACTCTATTTCACTAGAGAATTTAAAAAATATTCATGATGCTTTTAGAAGCAGTTTTATTCCACATAATGCTTGAAATGGGAGAGTCTGACTCACTGTTTCCATTTATTTTGTTGACTTAATTACAGCTAAAAAGAAATAGAGCTATTGCTGTGCGTTTCAGAAATATGACCACCGACACACCACCCAAAAAGTTCATCACCTTGGGCTCTGTAAGCAATTAATTTCATGATTTTGTAAACTCAGATCTATCCTGCCCACAAAACAAAGTACTGCTGATATCATATATATTTATTTATGTATGTTTGTTTACACTGGATTTATGTCCCTCATTCCCTCCCATTCCCATTCCCTGCCCCATTCCCTTTGCTCCAGTGCTATGAAAATCAAACGCTCTCTGAGAACTCAAAATTTGAGATCTTACGTTTTCAAACAACTTTATCTGAAGTTTTTAAGCTTTTGTACGTAAATAAAGATGCCTGAAATGCTTCTCTTTCCCCTCTCCACAGAAAAACAAGCAATTTCATTCTCCTGTTCAAATGCTTTTTAGTGTAAAATTGCATGTGTCAGAAATCCAATATGTTCAAAAGACAAACCAAAAAAAACCCCTCATAGCCCACCTTTCTTCTTCACTGGCATTCTTGCTGTTACTTCTGGCACAGGATGCAAGTAATTTTTTTTACTGTGGAGTCCTTCTGGGATTGTCTTGGGAAGTCAGAAGTCTGCCGTCCGACTCAAAACAGAGGGCTCTGTTTCTTCATTTTCCACAAGGATACTTGTAATTCCTCCAGTTAAAAACTTCCAACATCACCAGGAAAATAGCAGGGCAGGGAGGGGAATTTTAGAGACTTTCTGCCGTAGCAGCTGTCAAAATCTGTAAAGTATTTCCCAAGCTATAAAAATATATCGGAGAAAACACACGTCAGTTTACAAAAGTCTATAAGAATCCTTCTTCTAACAATGAAGGATTGGTTTGTATTGTATTCAGAAGTTAAGTGAATGTCAAAAATGCAATTAAGGCACAGTCCAAGACTTGGCAATCTCAGGATTCCACTTCAACACAGTCCAAAACCGCCTAACCCCGTCTTAAATAATCCAAATAAAATTCTAAGGAAGGTGGAAGCAATTCAGAGATTTTTCTTCCTGCTGCAGTCACAAGAATTTTTGCTCATTAGACAGACATCCTGGTCTTCTGGATGCTAGAAAAAAAGCTCTGAAATTTCACTTGGTTACCCGCACAGCCGTCACTTTCATTTTATTCTCTCTGCCCAGCCTTCTGGTCTGTAACATCCCTCTGATCCTCTTGTATTACACCCAAGAGGATTGAAAGCAATTCCTTGACATGGAATTATTAAAGCGACAGAGCTATTCGCATGGCAAGCTGGTGGAGCAAAGAACAGGGCGTTGGGGTGACTGAGTTCTCGTCATTTCGCTCTCAGCTCAGAAGCAGCAGCCACCTACCGAGAGAGGAGCAAAGTTCTAAGAACAGTTTCCCCAACAGTGAAATCAAGAACTTGAATATTAAAGGAGAATCAAGCAGGCCAAGTACCGAGTGGCCCTTGGCCTCACCATAACCATGCATCTCCCATGTGGAAAGGGGGCAGCTTCCACATTTCACAAGCATTGTTGTTCCACTCTTCTATTGATTCCAAATGGACTTATGTAAACAGATGATTGTTTTCTCAGAAAAAAGTACAGTTTTCATATCTGGGTGCATTATGATTTCTTTATACAGGAAAGACAAGTAGGCTTACAGAAGCAAGAGGCAAATTGGTACTCTCCCAGTTCAAAACCATGATCAATTGTTGAGTATCCTGCTCTAAATCCTGCCTGTTCCTCTGCAAGCACATTGTTATCAATGACCCACTCCTCTAATTTATTAGCTATATGCTTTGCATAAATTTCAGCCACGATGTGAATCAGGCTAATTGGTCTATAATTCTCTGGGTGGCTACAATCACCATTTTTATACATTAGGATCACTGTGCTTGTATTCCAGCCCTGGGGAAGTTGGCTTAGAGGAGTAAATGTTATTAAAGGTATGTTGACCCCTGGATGGGGGACAACAGGCTTCAACTGAACCCTGGTAGGACAGAGTGGCTGTGGGTACAGGGAGCCTCAAGATCTAGGAGTTTATCATTTTTGGTTTTTGACAGGGTTGCACTACCCAACAGACCCAGTGCGTAATCTGGGGGTCCTCCTAGACTCACGACTCCTGTTTGAAGCGCAGGTGGCAGTCATGGCTAGGAGGGCCTTTACACAACTTTGTGTTGTGTGTCAGTTACGCCCCTTCCTGGATCAGGAGGCTCTCTGCAGTCACTCATGCCCTGGTTACCTCCCGGCTGGATTACTGTAATGTGCTCTACGTGGGGCTATCCTTGAAGAGTATCTGGAAGCTACAGCTGGCGCAAAATGCAGTGGCGCAGACAGTTCTGAATGCCCCCAGGGGGGGGCCATCTCTATTACACGAGCTGCATTGGTTGCCAGTTTGCTTCCGGGTCCAATTCAAGGTGTTGGTTATTAGCTTTAAAGCCCTTCATGGCACAGGACCAGGTTATCTGAGGAGCCATCTCGCCCCACTCAGTCCGGCAGAAGGGGCATGATGCGGACCCCACCAGTCAAGGAATTGCAATTGGCGGGGTCTAGGAAGAGGGTCTTTTCTGCCATGGCCCCCACTCTGTGGAACAACTTACCTCCCAAAGTATGGTGCGCCCCCATTCTCATGGCCTTCAGGAAGAGTGTGAAATCTTGGCTATGCTAGATGGCCTGGGGGTCTGATGGGGGCTTGCACCATTGGAATTGGTTTGTGGGGTAATTGATTCTACTCCCCCAGTCATCTTGAATGTTCTAGTCTTTTCATGTATATAGTCTTTTCATATAGTTTGATTTTTTAACTTAATGTGGATATTTATATTTTTAACTGTTTTTGAGGTTTGATTTTAATCGTGAGCCACCCAAAGTCACCCTCTGGCAGAGATGGGCAGCATATAAATTTAATAAATAAATAAAATAAAGAGTTTAACCAATATAGGCTTCTACCAAGCAATATTAGCTTTTAGATTTATATCCACAGCAATCAGAAAGTCCCTTGGAAGATTACAGTACTGCTATAAAAAGAACAATGCAGAGAAATGCCCATGGTACAATTAAATGAATAATTAACAGTTTTAATTAAGCAAGAATTAATAATTGATTAATTAAATCAATAACTAAAAATAAAAACAAAACTGTTCCAATCACATACACAAACAGAGCAAGGCCATTTGTAAGATACCATGGAAATTATAGCCCCCAAATATCTAAAGGGTAGTAGGATGCAACTTCTAGTTTAAATTGTCAGAAATAAGGTGTTGGTGAGCTTTAAGGCTGACAAACTTTAAGGGTAACAAAAGAAGAAGAATGTGAATGTGCTCCTAGTTTTAATTTTTTTTCCAAAGCAAGGTAGTGATTAAATACACACCCAAAAGCACAGAGAAAGATTCTGAGTAAACAGTGGTAAGTGAAAATATTTAAGAAGAAGAAAGAGTTTGTAGAAAAAGGGTGAGTATAGTTTCAAGAGAGGGAAACTTCTACTTATTGGTCATCATTGATCTAAAAATGTCAGCCCTTAAAGGTAGGCCAGGTCAAGAAACTGACTCTGTAAGTTTGGCTGGAACTCTACTAATATAGGCTATAGTAACAGAATCTCGAAAGTCTGTGTTTCTCTTCCCTCCCTCTTATACTCTAGTGAATTAGGCAGGAGCCCGACTGAGCTTCTTTCTCATGATTTCTCTGTTTCTCAGGTTCAAAGCATTTTTGGACCCATAATCTCTGCATAGTTTCTCCAAGATCATCTTCATAGTTCTCTACAGTAGCCATCTTACAATGTGTGATCTGGATAACAAATGGAGCAGAAGGGGGACATAGACTGGCATCCTTGGGCAATTTTTGTTTAATCTCTTTTTCCTGGCTTAAAACATGCTTTCATTTTTGTAACAATTTTTGCATAGTTTCTCCAAGGTCACCACCATGGCTCTCTACAGAAACAGATGTGCAACCTTTTGGGAGCAAGAACTGCATTTGGCCTTCGAATAATGAACCAAAGGCTAAGTTCTAAAAAATAAGAACAGAACAAATTATTAGAATTAAATTAATGAAATTAATATGTTTTTGAAATTTTGACAGCAGCATGCAAAGTTTTGGGGGGGGGGTAAAGTGAAGAAAACTGTCCTGTTAAAAAACAAAGAAATAACCTTAGGAAGCAAAAGCTAGAATATAGGAATGTCAAGAACAGATAAGAGATCCATGTGTGGGAACTGCGGTATGATTGTTCAGGAAATTTGGCCTTCTGGAAGGCCCTTAAAACATGGTTTTGTCAACTAGCTTGGAGATCCCATGATAGAGTGGAGCCTGCTAGATAGTTATATGACAGTTAATAGAATGCACTCTTTGTATGTTTTGCTGCCTTTTGTTTTTGTTTTTATCTTGTTTTTATTTTAATTCAAATTGGTTGTTTTAATGGTTTTTATATACTTTGGATTACTGGTAGTCCTCGCTTAATGAACATTCATTTAGCGACTGTTTGAAGTTACGACAATGCTAAAAAGTGATTTACAACTGGTGCCCAAAGTTACGACCGTCGCAGCATCCTCGTGGTCACATGATCACGATCTGGATGCTTGGCAACCAGTTTGCACTTACGATGGTTGCGGCATCCTGGGGTCACATGATTGCCATTTGCGACCTTCCCAGCCTGCTTCTGGCAAACAAAATCAACAGGGAACTTCATGGTTCACTTAATGACCATGTGATTCATTTAACGACAAGTGATTTGCTTAACGACCGCCGCAAAACAGGTCATAAAATTAGATCTGGTCACATGATTCATTTAATGACATCACTTAACAACCTAAATTCTAGTCCCAATTGTGGTTGTTAAGCAAGGACTACCTGTATTACTATGTAGGCTGCCCAAAGTCACTACGTGAGATGGGCGGCTATACAAATGTGATTAAATAAATAAATAAATGAAACTCCTAGATTAAAAGTTTCAATACCAAACTAGGAGATAGGAGATATACAAAGAAGTCAAGACGAAATGAAAGAGGAGTAAATGCAAAAGAGGAAGGCATTCCAAGGGAAATCAGATACAAAGCCGAACAACAGAATTTAAGAATATAAAAGTAGCTGTGTAAAGATTTGAAAAAAAAAAAATCTAGCAAAGAATTGTTTCTGAGGGCTGAATTAAGACTGAGCTGGGAACAAATGTGAAACCATTTACAGATAGTCCTCAGTTAATGACTAGTTGTTCAGTGACCATCCAAAGTTACAACGCACTGAATGAGGAATCCTCAAAGATGCAGCTGTCACAGCGTCCCCATTGTCACGTAATCGCAATTCAGGTGCTTGGCTACTGCCTCGCAATTATGACAGTCGCAGCATCCCACAGTCATGTGACCACCACTTGCGACCTTCACTGCCGGCTTCCGACAAGCAAAGTCAATGGGAAAGCTGGCAGGAGGTTGCAAATGGCGATCACATGACATCACACCTAATGACCATGCGGGATTCACCTAACAACAACAACAACAACTGGAGCCGCCAGAATTGCCAACGTAAGATCACGTTGCTTCGGGACGGAGTTCCCGGCCATTAACCGAAGACTACCTATATTTATTTCAAACATCTCAAAATTATTCCTTCAGACCCAAAGCATCTGAAAGTGGTGCTTCTGTCTATATAAACTTTAAAGGCATTGCTATTCGGGTAGAAAACACAGCATTCTGTTTAAATGCCCCACAGATGCTACATGTACCTCCCTTGGGTGAGAAGTCCAGAGGAGGGATGCCATGGCTAAGAAGAAACCCACTTTCAAAAATGTACAATCTCTCCACCTCTGGGACTTTTAGAAAGGGTTCTTTGATGATCTTAATGCACTGTCAGAATTTCAGTCCTGTTATTTTAGGAGAATCCCCTGCTCCTAAAATTCAGCACAAGCAGCAAAATGAAGTAGGCTACAGTCCTCAAT